CATGAGAGGACTTTCAATTGTAGTCACAAGTGTCTTGTTCTGGTTCTAAAGCACTAGAGAAAAGAACCACGTGGAGACTGAAAGAGGTCACTAAGAAGAGGGGGACCATGTGGAGAGTGAAAGAGGTCACTGAAGAAGAGGGGGACCATGTGGAGAGTGACAGAGGTCACTGAAGAAGAGAGGGACCATGTGGAGACTATAAGAGTCACTGAAGAAGAGGGGGACCATGTGGAGAGTGAAAGAGGTCACTGGAGAAGAGGGAAATCACGTGGAGAGTGAAAGAGGTCACTGTAGAGGAGGGGGACCACATGGAGACTGGTGGAGGCCACTGGAGGAGAGGGCCATGTGGAGGTAGCAGGAGGCCACTGACAAAGCCCCACCCTCTCTAAGGACAGTGACCTGGGTTGTCTCCTGAATCACCCTCATCTCTGCCCAAACCACAAGGGCAGGGAAGCTGGCAACCAGAAGGATGAGGACAGTCTGAGGGCCCGTGAATTCCAGTCTCTTTTTTGATTACCTTTCTTTTTAGTTGTAGATGGACACAATACCTTTATTTTATTCATTTATCTTTTCATGTGATGCTGAGGGTCAAACCCCCTGCCTCCCTCCCACATGCTAGGTGAGTACTCTGCCATTGAGCTACAACCCCAGCCCCCAAAACATTTCTTGAGAGATTGGCCTAGCCACCTGCTGACTAGTGAAGCTGGCACAGGCCATGGCAATGAGCAGACCTACAAAACCTGCTCTGGCCAGCGACCCTCCAGGGGTTGTCGGCACTCAAAGACATCCTCCAGCATTCAGAGACCCCAAGGTCTGTYGTCCATTTACCCCAGAAGCCCCCCATCTCTCTTTTTCTATATCCTCCACACACTCTGTGCTCCATCCACAGGGGGCCCCTGAAACTCCCAGGCATTGTGTACTACCCTTTCGACTGTGCATATCTAGGACCTGGTACTGTCCTGATACAGCTGGCTTAGTAACAATCTGCAGGGTACGTGAATGATCCTGCATCCAGGGACCTGAGGGGACAGTTTGAGATCAATCTCACAGTTCTGGCACAACAACATGCCATGAGTGACACAGTGACAGCCATGAGTTAAAAAGYGTCCTCCTGAATAGTGAAGTAGTTCAGCTCGCAAGGAACCTAATTCCTCTTCCACTAAGGAGGTGGGTTTAACCTTATCCCCTGCTGACATCATTTTCACTTATTTCCCTCCAGTATGCCGACTGAAGAGAGTGATAAGTGGAAGAGGTAGGCAGAAGCTTGAAGAACCACACGGGTCCAGGCCACGGCCGGAGGGCACCGCCCACCTGTCAGCCAGCCCTAGCACACCAAATATAAGACAGAGCGCCACACGCATGTGTTGAAATATCACACCACATACTCCTGCAATACATATAGTAGTTACCTGTTAATCAAATAAAACCAAAGAAAGCTCTTATTTTAACTTAATGTATAATTTTAAAATTTCAGTGTTACATAAGGAAGTCTACCATCTGACTTTGGATCTATGGAGTAAATAATACATAATACATAATTATGTAAATAATACATAATTATGATTAAAGCCTTAAAGTTTGCACATTTCTGGGCTTCTCATATCTTTTCTAGAATATTTATGCCTTTCTAAACAATGTTAGTATTATTTTTTTAAACAATGTTTAAAAAATAATACTAATATTTCCTTAATAAAAAAATACTACCATTGGTAAATGGCACTTTGTGATCAACGCCTTGCTTTTGTTCAGGAACATTTACAAAGTGCTTGCTTTAACTTTCTAACCAGAAATGTCCATCACTTTAAAATATAGAAACACACTCTATAAATAAAATAGTACTTATTTAGCATTGTGCAATATTTAGTTCTTGCTGGAGTTGTCTATTACTACCCAATAAACCACCCCTAAACTTGACACATTATTATTTTGTCTTTAATATCTGGTCATTGTTGCAATTTTGTTCACTAACTGAACAGTCTATAATAGCTCGCTATTTCCAGTGGTCTTGAGAGTAGTGGGGGGCTCTGYAATGGTTCTCATGTAGAGTCTCCTGGTGGTCACAGTGTGTTGGTGGCCACAGACCTCCTCTGAAGGCTCAGCTAGCCTGGACATTCAAGATGGCAGCTGAAGGGCTGGCAGCTCCTGAGGCCTGCTGTGTGCAGTGCCCAGATGGCCCCTCCATGGTACTTAGGGTCTGGACAGCATGTAAGGTTGATCCCAAGAAACACAAGAAAAAGGTGTCAGGCTCCCAACTGGCCTGCCCTAGCGTCCAGAATATTACTTCTGCTGCATTCTCCTGGTCAAGTGCATTCTGGCCAGCACAGGTGCACAGGAAGGGAAAACAAGACTCTTGGTGGTGATGAGAGGGCAGCTCATGCATGCAGGAGGGAGGAAGTTGATGGCATCGTCTTGGAGACCAGCTTATCATGTATACTATGTGTTAGGTGAGCAATCCTAGCTTCCTGTCCCCCTAAGAACTTCAGAGTCATATTGAATGAGAATGTACAGACCATCAAAAAACTGCAGAAAAATCACAGTTGGTGCCTGGGATCTGAACAGCCTCTAATAGCTCACTATTTCCAGTGGTCTTGAGAGTAGTGTTCAGTTCCTCACATGGATGCAACTCTACTCTGTTAACCTCAACAGTGAAACAGAATCGAGTTCCACATAAGACTTCAGCCTCTTGTCCCATGGGGTAAGAACCTTGCCCAATAAAAGTGTCAGGACGATAAAATGCACTTTATTTTCAAATTCCACCTCCTACCCTGGCTGTGGAGACCCAGGGGCCAATCATCTCATTATAGAATGCCTGGCCCAGCAGGCCTTACTTCCTAGCACTTGCGTGCCAGAAATACTCCTGCCCAGGGACTGGAGACTTGACTGCTAGTGGCCTCAAGAGAGCCCCCTAGCTCAGAAGCACAGATCATACAGAGAATAAGAGCACAGTAGACTCTGAAGTGGAGTGATGGCCATTACACAGAACTTTCTCAAAGGAGGAAAGAAAGGTGCAAGACAATGATGTCAGGTCCCTAAAAGGAAGGTATTTTTCAAATGGTTTCACTTTCCCATTTACAAAAGAAAAGCAGCTTACTGTGATAGAATAAGGCCTGCTTTCATGCAGGTGTATATTCTGAGCCAAATAAAACAGAGTTCTATTCCAAGGCCATTCATCTTACATGAGCCACTGGCAAGGCATGGAAAACTCCCCTCAGACATGGGGGCCCTAGAAACACTGACATGTGCTGATCTAGACCCAGGTTAAGATGTTTCCAAAGGCAGCAAGAAGCCACATCTCTGGCCCCCATAACACAGAAACCCATGAAGTTAAAAAAAAAAAAAATTAAGTTTTCTCCAAAATTATAATGATTTTTTTAAAAAAAAAGGTTATCAAATTTGTTCTTAATCTCTTTATCAAAATAAATAAACAGGGGTTGGGGCTGTGGCTTAGTAGTAGCGCACTTGCCTGGCATGTGTGAGGCACTGGGTTCGATTCTCAGTACATAAATACATAAATAAAATAAAGGTCTATCAACAACTAAAACAATATTTAATTAAACAAATAAAATAAATAAACAGAACTAGTTGAAGTTCTCAAGTATTCAGTCTATGCAGTGTGAAGCCTCCTTCCCTCCCAGGGTTTCTCTCTAAACCCCCGAGTGTTTCCTGTCTCTCAGTGGAGAATGTGGAGGTCCCTAAGGCCCTGCCAGGTTTCCRGGTTCCCTGGGGATGCCTCTCCTCACCACCTGTGTGTACCGTGTTTAAACCTCGCCACCACTGTTCTCAAAGGAGACTCCCATAGCTGCTCCCCAATTTCAAATCTATGGCCACGTGGTGTGGGTCCCCTTCCACCCACCTGGCCCCATTCCTCCTAGCTGGGTCTGTGTCTCCAGGGCTGCCCTCAGTCCTCACTGGAGAGCAGCCTCAGAGCAAGCGTTCTATGACAAAGCTCACCATGCTGCTCTCCTGCTRTAAACCAGACACACTCCCCAGTCCACTCAGCCTCTCCAAACCAAAGACAGCCAGACTGCCCCCCAGGTCCTCACGGCCCCTCCATCCATGCCTGCCTGTCTCACAYGTTAGCACAACACTGCAAGACGTGGTCACCCTCCAAGATGGCTGCCTGACTCCATCTGCAGGACCTCCCGACCTGAGCTCACAGGGTCATGGTKACTCCTCTGCCTCACATCCACACCCCCAAAGAGGGAACTCTCCTCCCTYGGCCTTCTGCTTATACCACACTGCACAATTCAAGAGCTTTATTCTTTGGTCAATTTTTTTTTTTTTTTTTGGTAAGTTTTCAAATTCTACATCAAAATACCAACTAAAGCCTTCAGGTACATCCAGCCCCTCTGGATACAGGGTGTCTCAGAGACCAGGCATCTCACTGGGTCTCACTGCATGGTGTCCCAAGGAAATGCCATCTGCACTGCTCATTAAATTGAGTCTGAACTGCCTAAGCTCAAGGACAGAAAAATTCATGAAAGAAAATTAACAGAATTCAGAACAGCATAAAAGGCTCACTGGCATGCTCCACCCCAGGCAGTCCACTGAATTCTGAGAGAACTGGTCTGGCTCTGTCTACAGTCACAGGCTGCAACGTTGATCACTGGTGATATCTTTCCTGAAAGTATTACTCACTGGCCAAATGCTGACAGACTCGTCTTCACAAGGATGTCCTGTCACTTGTAAGTATTCTGCAAGAAAAAACCTTCATATTTTCTAGTATGAAACTGTAAAGATTTATTTAGTGGTAGTCTGTCACTCATAACTCCCGAAACTGACTCACAATTCAAAGAATCAGACATTTTGGGGGCTGGAAATTTTTCCCCCTTTGGCCTTTCAAAAACACGTTATCTATAAATGTCCATCATGAACATAAACACAATTTCAGTTGCAGCACTTTTTTCTTACATAAAGTCGGACACTTTCYTTTTACTGTGAGCGTGGTTTGTACATCATGGATGTTACAGCTGCCGTTAGTGAGGCAGGAGCAGTCTTACCCTGGTGTGCGTTCGGATGTGCATCTTCAGCCCATCGTTCTTACTGAATCCTTTGTCACAGTAAGGACACTGATAGGGACGCTCACCTATGGATAAAGAAAGACTTCAGGTCAGAACAGTGTCAGGGCGGAGCATGCCATGTCCTACTCCCAGTGCCCTGTCCTGCCTCACGAAGGATCCCACATAGCCTGAGAAGACAAAGCCACCTCTGGGAGGCCCAGTGCCTCAGGACTCACGATAAGCCAGGCCACCTCTGGGAGGTCAAGCACTCCAGCACTCAGGAGGACCCAGACTGCCTCTGGGAGGTCCAG